TCAGGCACATTTGGAAAGGTATCTGAGCCTGGTGAAATCCATCGGCAAGCAGGGTATCTGTCGAAGGAATAACATCCACCACCCTGGCTCCGAGCCACAAGGTCAATGCAGACCATGACTGCGTGATGAAGGGGATTGTCACCTCGGCAGTCATGGCCCACTGCGATGATTCTCTCTGTTGCTGGGTTGACCACTACAGCCCCAACTGCCTCCATCCCCATCTTCTTTCCAGCTTTGGCAGCAGTTAAAGCAGTCATCATGTGCATGTGCATTGTAGCTTTCTGGGGTGGGCTGAAGAGCTCTCCTCTCAGGGCAACTGTCACCTGTTTGTCCTCATGAAAGGAGGTGGGCCAGTGTTTGCTCGCCAGCTCAAACTGAGTTCGAGTCAAGGGAGGTCGTGCAGGGACCTTAACCACAAAAGGCTCACCTAATCCATCATGCCTGACTCCATCTGGGGGCAGCAGAGAGTCGATGCTGGTCACCTTCATGTCTGGTGCATCGCCAATAAGGCACACCAGGACTTCCAGAGGGTGGGGGCTCCCCTTCTCCTTGCAAGCCCGCACCCTCTTGATGTGCTGCAGGCCGTTCAGTGGGTAAAGGATGTTCAGCTCCCTGACAAGTCGAGAGGTCTCTTTTTTGTTGAGAACTGGTGCAGCAAACGCCTCTATCAGCTCGACATCTTGCGACTGCTCATCAGATAGTACAGGATATGCAACCCAGGAGTCAGTGTCGCACTCCGACCCTTTCCAGCGTTTCCTCTGTGGCTCCATTGTTTTGGTGTCAGCCTGCAACATATGATTTTACACCAAAGCAAAACAAAGTTAGTGCATTTGCAGGGCAGAGCACATGATGACAGAGCCTTTCGGTAGAGACACAGCCCAAGCCCAATCGGACTTTGTGGTCTCATCACTGACAACATGAACAAATCAGGTGTAATTCCAAAAGGAACAGCTCTGTTTAATAACTGACCTACTTCACGTGTGACTGCTATTTGATCAAGGTTTAGTACAAGGTTCTTTGATTGAAAGTGAACATATTTTTTTCTCTTAACTTGTACCAAAAAAATTTAAATGCATCAAGCAAAACATTTGCATTACATGGACACAAACCAGACAAGAAAAAAAAAACACCATGTGTCAGACACATTTAATGTGCAAATGACATTTACAGTAGAGCCCAATTAATACCAAAGATAATGGTATTGACATGTTTAAAAACCTCTGATAGTGATATATTTCCCAATATTTAATTTAACAAACAACTTTAAAGGGTAAAGTTTAATCAGTTTCATAAGCAACAAATCTGAAGAGTGGTCAACACTAACAGAGCAGAGACTCAAATATCCAATTTTAGTTCTTAGTACTGGCCAAGTTCCAAAAACACCAGGCCTTACATTTCCCATAATACAACTTTATTTCTCAACTGTTTTCATTGCTTAAGTGGTACTCCTTGGTGCTACTAAACTGAATTTCATGTATTAAATAGGTGGAGTACCCCTTTACATTGTCATTAAGGGATGTGATGATGCTATGAGCTGACCAATACCTTTTACAGTGTAAAAACTAGCTACAGCACTTTTCTTGAATTATACACATTAGGCCTTTTTATAACATATGCCCATACTGATATATTTGTGCAAAGCTAACAACTAATAATCTTCTTGGCCATTCTGATAGATCACTTGTGCTCTTTTGGGAAGTAAAGCCATAATGTAAACAACGCATACACCAGGCACAACCAATCATAGCATCACGTCAATTTTATGTATGTAGTGCTCTTTATAATCAGCCAACAAAACCTAATTCCAGTTCTGACGATTTTCAATCATTTATCAGCTGAAAATACTAAACATTTGGTGGGTTACAAATACAACAAGAAGAGGTACAGAGGAGGAGACACCCACTGATATTATGCTTCATGGTGTAAAAGGAAAAAACAATAAACAGTACCACAACAAAATATCAGGTCAACATGCAATCTTTTTCATTTTCTTCCCAGTATAAGCTTTGTTTTCAGGACTTTGGGCACATGTCGTATAGTCAGTGACACTCTGGTGTCGCGTGTCAGTTTCTCTCCTGACACAGCCCCGGCAGCAGACAGGTTCACCACCTTGTCCGTCAGCGTGTCCTGGGCACATGCCTGGATGCCATGAAGAAGGCGCTGGTACATGTCATCCTGCAGGATCAGAAGACTGCGCGGCCTCACCAGCAGGGAGAACAGGTAGCGGTTCTCCTCCGTCTGTGGGACAGCGTCCTCCAGGCTGCTGATGGGTGTGTAAAAGTCAAGAAGGGTGTGAGAGCCCAGGCTGATGGTGGTGACAGTAGGGTGGTATAGAGGGCCGTCTTCATGAGGCATAATCCCTTCTCCTTGTTTATACTCATTCACCAGCACATGATTGGCCATCTTCCCACTGAATGCACCTAGAGAAGAAATTTTCTCACAGTATGCCTGGAGCCAGTCAGGAATTTTTTCTGCCAGCATGCCTTTGGGATGTGGTAACCCTCCCCAGTTCTGAAGCCGTCGGCCTGACAGCTGAGTCCATTTAGTTTTGGGAGACTTATAGACCTCCTGCAGAAGGTAAGACTCCTCATCCTCTGATATAAAATCTGGGATGTAATACACTGTTGGTAGGGCATCATGCACAACAAACTGCTTCAGTTCCTCCAAAATACAAGCTGGGTTTTCCATGTCTCCTTCAGAAAATCAACATAACATGCTTGTTAAAAGCCAATTTAAAAAGCAAATGCTGGATAACGTCATTGGTGGTTGTTTACAGTGAATAAAGTGTAATATGCAATGTTATCACTGCCATGTGTGATGACTGCTACTGATTGAAAATCAGACAAAAACATCTAAAACATGTATTAAAATGTAAGTCAGATACAAGCTATCTAATGTTAGTTAATGGTGATAGCACTGGAAAGGGAAAATCCCAGCATCGCTTGCAGTGTTTTGAGCAACTTAAGAAGACCAGTGTGTTTCAGCATGAAGCCTTGGTCAGGGTCTGTTAAAGCCACACAACAAAAAGTGAAGTTACCTATGACACCGAAGCTTCAAAGCTTGTATCGAGTGGGGGGGATTTAAAAATGAAGCCTCGCTTTGAAACTTGTCTTTTCCCCAACTGTCACATGATCAATGACAAACGAGGCCTCTGGTTTCTCAAAGAATCACACGACTGTTTCAGTTTACAATTCAGATTCAAACTGTTAATGCAAGGACAGAGAAACCTACTACAGAACAATGATATACTCTGACAAGTCCATGGTGTGGGTGGCACAGTGGAGCAGTGGTTAGTGCTGTTGCCTCACAGCAAAAAGGTTCTGGGTTCTCTCCAGGTACTCCAGCTTCCTCCCACAGTCCAAAGACATGCAGCTTAGGTTGACTGGCAGGAGTGTGGTTGTCTGTCTACATGTCAGCCCTGTGACAGACTGGTGTACTCTCGCACAATGTCAGCCAACCCCTATTCAGGAATGGTGGACAGAAGTTCCATGATATTTTGTGGTTGGACTGCTGGGTGCCTGCCAGGACAGCTGACTCTACCCTGAGTTTTATACATTAATCAGATGTGGTGTCACCTGTGTCAATTAATAGACACACCTGATGCTCCTTTATCAATTTGACCCTTAAATATTATTGGCCTATGACCACGTATCTAACTCACTTATGTGCATGTTTTTAGTGGCCGACATGTATGAATTTGTATGTGATTGCTTGTTTTTTAATTTTTACAGGACTCTTGATTGTGTGCCTCTTTCCAACCCCGACGAAGGTCTTGCCGAAAAACGTGTCTTCTTATTAAAGTTACTCAAAACTTTGCAAAATGTCGCTGGACTTTTTACTTTGCAGTTTGTTTCAACCCTTGTCTATACACTTTGACAGTGGGTGACGTTTTGTGTGTTGATAGCATTAGCAACTTTTTGCTAGCTCGGTCAGCTGCGACTGAAAAGAATCCCAAATAAAACCATGTACAAGTGAACATGATGCTTTGGTTGATATGGTACAGAGTAACTTTCACCCATAGTGTTTTTGGTCGGAAATACCACAAGAAAGCTTTAAACTGTGCTGGTTGTTGATGGCGTGAAAGGTGTGTCAGTAACGTTATGCATGTTATACCAAATATACTGCCTTTACAAAACGTTGGTTGTTAAATGTCCCGTCAACTCCACCAGCTTGGCAAACAATACACTACTTTGTTCCCGAGTTGTACGTTTTTGTCAGACCATTTCTGGTGCCCATGAAGGAAGCACAGCCCGCTAAAAAGTCCAATTTTAAATTCTAAAACGGCGCCGCAAAGATACAGAAACATAGCGGCTGTATTTTAATATCGAAATGACACAAAACACAACTTTACCCTTTTTTTTTTCTTTTCTAAAGCAGAGCTTTGAAGAAAGTACCTTCCGTTCACCCACGGCCGTTCAGGGACACTTAGTTAGCTTGCTTTTATGTGCAGCACACTAAAATGTCCCCTAAAACAAAGCTTCAAATGTTTGGACCTATTTAATTTTTAGAGAAGATTCGTCAAATGATGATTCGGGATTATACGTACAGGGTTGACGGGTATAATGTTAAGTTGTTTTCCAGTCCTTTTTTTGAGTCTCCTTTAGCGAACTATCTGTACTTAATCTTATGTCAAGAACTTGCGGTGCACGGAATTATTTATGGGTGACGCACCACGATGGCGTTGGTGAACTAAAGGGCTGTTCTTCTTATTTTCTGTTACCAGTTTATTCCTCTGAAACTTAATGTGGTGCTGCTGGGATGTGTGTTTGTTATTCTATTAGTTTAATGGTCATTGGGAGCTGAATTGATTGTAACTTATGGTGTCTGACATAAGGCTGATGGCCATGTTCCCTTCAAATGTACAGATTTTGCAGCAGCTGCTAAAGTTTAGACCCACATTTGGCTGCTCCCTTTCATTTAGCAAAGCCTTGTGCTCCAGACTGCTTTTAGGCATTGAGACAAGCTGTGATGACACTGGAGCTGCTGTGCTGGATGAGACTGGTGCAATACTGGGGGAGTCACTACATTCACAGAAAGAAGTACATCTCAGGTAGGACAGAGCTGGATTCATTTATCAAGGTCGTTATTTGTGTGGATGCTGATCCACACAAGAGCATCCACACACTGTAAGAATGTTTGTATGTAAACTCAATATTTATTCCCATTGTTAAAAAGATTCAGAAAATCTCCTCTAGGCAAAAGTGCAGGCTCTTTGGAACTCACCACAGTTTCTTCATTTTATGGAATATCTTCACATAAAGGTGATCAATCTGTTTGTTGTTGTGTTGTGTTGCACCTCTGAATGTAACCTTGTCCAGTACACCACCTTTAACTAGGACCTCAGTAATAAACATATCATTGAATTTATTGATTTATGACAATTTCACAAAAAATGAAACATTTTGAAACTTGTAAATACAGATGTTAACACTTTGTTTTTCACAAGACGAAAAGCAACCTGATTAGGTGGAAGCTGGGTGGAGCTCATCTAGTAATTAACTGTAGAGCTGAAGCAACTAGTTGATGGCTATGTACTCACTGAAAAAAAGTCACACTAGCATTAGCGAGTCAGTGGGACATATTTCTGCATGTAACAGCAATAGTTTGACAAATAAACATATTGCTCTCCAGTTTGTGGTTCATTACGTGAGTTTACAAGTAACTAATTCATCAGCTGTTACCTTTTTGAAAAACTACTGAACGTGACATCTCTTCTTTTAAACATTTAACTGTATTGCTCCAACATCAGTTTTGCCTATACTTTTTCTGGTTGGTAGTTGTTGCATGTGTCAGATATCAGTTAAATTCACAATACATATATTGGTGAAGCTCCTTTCTTTGTGTCTACTGTGACATAAATCACAGTGTAATCTGTTATGGCAAAATGAACCTATATTCTGGCTATGATGCACATGTATATGCACTATATATACACATAGGAAAAAAAAAAAAGCTTTTCCAGGCTTCTGGCACAAAGGACCTGGATAAATGCACCAGGTGAGCAACTTTAATTGCACAGAATCGGCACTGTGTTTAACTCCAGTATCTAGCTTTATGCATCTATAGTGCACACAATCTTTTTTTCTAATCTTGCATACCTAAAACTCATCTTTGTCCGGCTGCTCGTGTTATATTGGAAAATTCCCAAAAACAGCATCTGACAGATGGTACCTGAGGTGCGCTGGAAAAAAACAAAACCTCAAAAGTAAAATGAACAAAGTAGCCTACTATACTGTGACCACTATCATTTTTAGTCACACAAGACTTTGATTATATGGAGGCATTCAACAAAAACTGAAGACTTTATCTCCAAATTATTGTCTTTTTGCTGTTCTTTTGCCTGTTTAACATGTGATCAAAGATGACGTCATGCTCCTTTTTATTGTTTTAATCGTTTCCAGAGTTTACCTCAGTAACCAAAGCAGTGCAAGATGATTAAAATGCCTGACTGATACAATGACTGTATGTGACCCTGGTAAACAGGTGAGAGGCATGAGGAAGTCAGATGGTTAATGACTAAACTCCACCCCTGTAGGACACAAGACCAACTAACTGAGAGCCAAGTCCCTTCAATACTTCCCTTTGAGTGTATCTGGAGGTTCTACAGCAGCAAACCGGTCCCACATCATGAGGTCATCACATGGTTAGTGACCAAAACTCCTCCACCTGGATGATACGAGAAGCAAAGACAGATATAATGCAAGTTGCCATGATGACCATGTTGGACAGAGACAAAAAGCCACGTCTTGTTGGTCCTCACCTTATGAGCGTCCTGCTATGCAGCCACATCATGACCAGCACTGCTTGTTGTGTCTCATGTTACACACCTGTAGGAGGCACTGAAGGACTAAGCAAAGTTTAGTGCCCTACCTTTTTAAATCAGACGCTCATGGCTCATTTACCTTTATGAACAGATAAGAACATGCAAACGAGATGAAGGGACAAGTGTGCATGCACAGAAATTGAGACAGACAAATGTAGATGTGCAGACAAACAGAAAAAGAATTTGCTTTTGTAGATCAATGTTGAAATGATGACCCGATGCTTAACGCCACAAACCAATGGACCAGTGGCCATCTGGGACTAACGGATGGATTGACGGGCAGCGGCGAAATATCTTCACAAAAACGTAAATAAATCGTTGTGGCGCGGCAGCCAACCAGGTTAGAGAAGTAAAGAAAAACCACGTACCTGTCTTAGATCAATGTTGTCAAAATTCTTCAAATGGCTGGACGGAGAGCACGGGAGCCAGAGATAGCGATCAACCGCACAACAGATAAAACTCCTAAGACTTTCTCCTAAGTGTTATGTGCCTGGCAGCATAGATCTATGCCTATTACACAAATTTACCAGCCATGTTGGAAAAGAGTTGGGCATGGAGGGCCAGCAAAAACACCTGAACTAAACACTCTAGATGTCACAGTAAATTCAGGACTTGTGGCAAAGTGACCACAACAAGACCCCTTTAATGAATAAACTAGCGCCTCTGACAAGGAAACCCACAATAAAGTAAAAATGATTGACTTACAGTTCGTAGATCTACCTGAAAAGAGAAAGAAATACAATTAGTTTTATACAAATGATTCCAAATCTACAGGCCACATGTCAAATCAAAATTTATATAGCACTCAACCAAAGTACTTTACATGGGCAGAATAAAATCACAATATATAGCTAAAATAAAAAGGTTCAGTGCAAAAATAAAGCAGCACAGACACACAGATGACAAACATTCAATACATTAAATCAGGCCCTACTATGCATTAAAAGCCAAGGCACAAATATGTTTTAATGATTTAAAAGTAGCAGTTAAAAAGTAAATGGAGCAGGAAACAATTTCATTCTAACAGACAGAGATACACTTCCTCCTTAAGTGTTAAAAAATGAAAGACATTTATTTTGAAATGTTTTACTCTGTAGTGTCAGGATTCAGAGAATTATACCTCATAATTAAAAATACTTCTACTTCTTCTTTCTTGTTGCCCTATCAATATACCACAACATGGGGGACGGTGAACGACAAAGCACTTTAAAATTATACATTTTAAACTTTAGTACCCCGCCTTTCACCTGATGCTGGCTGGGATTGGCTCCATCCCGCAAATTATTAAAATTGAGCATGAAAGAACTTTAATTTTGTCATTGAACTGACAAAATAAACTCCTGCTTTCTACTCAGCCAGTTCACTTATGGCCCACAGTGTTCAGAACCAAAAACATTTTCTCCTTGTGAAATCCAACATTAGGCCTGTGAACCAACAGCAGCCTGTGTGTCCCTCTGACCATCTACTTGCTGAAACACTTGAACTTTCAGATAAATATAAAGACAGGACACCATTTACTACACAGATCTACTTTGGCATGAGCTGCTCATGGCGCAGTAAAGTCAAACACATTTTCCAACCAGTCTGTTACTTTATGAAGTTACCAACACACCTGACGTTAGCCCACAACAAAGCCTGGCAACATTAGCCAACTTCCAGACCCTCACTCACCTTTTTGGATTAGAGTCCTGGTGAATCCAGACCTGGTCCTCAGGTGTCTTATCATTTTTCTGACATTACTTAACCAGATACTAATGTATAAAGCCTATAAACCATGACATTCGGTCATTGTGATTGTGCTTCCACAAACACAGGCGATTGTGCGTCTGACATAACATACCTGTAACAGGAGGAGGAAACATATTATGAGTCAAATGTCCAATAAAACATAGTTTTTCTTAAAGAAACGTTCTGGGATGTACCAAACACTTCAAGCTCCGTTTTCCTACACGCACAACGCGGATGTGTTTGGCAATGTATTCTAATCAACACTGGAGAATATAGCGACTAAGGAAGCTATTTTCTGTGGACGCAACAAACTATCCTGTCGCGCACAAAATTTAAAACACTTGTAGCCACGCCCACTGCGCGCGGTCCTTGTTGATGATTGGTCCACGCACTTCCTCTCACGTCACCGATAATTGTTTTACCGCTAAAGCTGTGGGCTGCTGGGAGGAGACACTGTCCACATTGTCTGACCACAAACAGGCTGCTGTTCACCGCTCTGTCAGACTCTATCAGTTATTTGATTCAGTCATTCTTTTACATTAAAATGGATTTGCAGTTGCAACATTAGCTGTTTCCATCTTGGCCAGTGGTGTTTGCCTTGATGATTTTTGTCATGATAGTAAAACTGAATAGGCCTGTTTGGTTGGATAAAACAGTCCTGAGAAGATCTCAGCAGTGGGACTATGGTGTGTAGAGGCTTTAACACATTATGAAGATAGATTTTGGGGGCAAAGTTGTAGGTTTATTCTAAATAAAAATCAGCCTATATTAATTGTGTGGACGCTGAATCAGCAGTATCCACAATCTGTTTTCCAATTAGTGTGTGGATGCTGACTCTCTGCTTGGTGGTGCTGGCTTACATGCCACACCAAATTGATATTTTAATTGATGGAAATCATTTTAATCTTTCAAAGCACTACTGCAAACTGCAGTTCTTTTGTCTACATCCACCTCCTGTGTGTAGTCCTTCTTGGGTCCCTGTACCAGTGCAGAAGCTGGTTTCCTGGTTTAGGGATTCTGTTTTGATGCTATCAAGTGTCTGTTCAGGGCCTGCCTTCAAAAAAATAAGCATTAACAATGCTTAAAAAAGATTTCCTTTCCACCTTCTATTCAAAGTGAGGACTTGTTACCATTTATGTCACTGATATTTACTGTAATGGAACGACAAAACTTTGTAACTGAGTCATTTTCCAGAAATGCTAGTGCTCATTTATCATTTGTGTTTGCGAAGCATGTTCCACATGAATCTGAAACATTCTTTGCTTTTTGGTTGCAGCTCTATGAAGAAAACAACTGACCGCACTTCCTCCACAAGTCAGTGGTTAATTAAATTGTTAACATTGCAAGAGCCTATTGAAGGACAAACAGTGATGCCCCATGAAACCATCGCTACACGTTGTCTTGTGAGTGGAGACAGAGTACGCCTTCTTTTCTGGAACATTGTGGAATACCACTCATAAACACTGAGTCCAGATGGGAAAGAGACACACATGCTTTAAACAATTAGTCACAAAATTTAATGTCAGTACAGTGGACAGTTCCTGATTTCTCACCAGTAGAGAGCATGTTTTATGTTATGCTTTATGTTATAGAAGGCTTTACTACCCTGGGTTCTGCCTCTCAGGTGTAGCACAAACCCTTCCCTCTTTGCCAGCTTTGTTATTGACTCATCTCACTGCTGCACAACAAAACCTTACACTGTGTCTTAGTTCTATGTTACACTCTATATAAGCCCGTTTTTAGTATGTAATATCTTCAAAGCAACAATATTAAATCTACTCAGAACATTAAATGTTATACTTTCTAAATTTACATGAAAAAAATCTGCCTGACTCTCAGTATGCTCATTTTTGAAGTGATTTGAAATTTTAAAAATTTAACTACATTGCATATGTTGCGTCTTGAGTCAGCTCCTGAAATATATCGGAAAACAGAAAATGAAATACATGGAAAATCATTTTGCCTTTATTTGATTGATGTCTGTCTGCATATGCATTGTAACATTTTCTGTAAATTATGTTGATTTCATGCAAAACTAACAGCGTATTGTAATGACACTGTACACAGCATTAAAAAAATAAAAGCATTTCTGTCTTTCATGAAGCTAAAAAACTGATTAAAGCTCCAATTTAAAAAAAATGCAGCAGTGCCCCCTAATGTAAAGTTGTGCCTGACAGGTTCAACTCGGGGTAAAAAAAAATCCCTTTATATTAAACACTGTCCTGCAAAGATTACCTCATTTGAGAACACTGAGAAAAATAAATTTTAAGTTACCAAAGAATATGTCTGGTGTTAAACTATATTCTTATGTATCTGTACTTACTGAATATGGAAATCTTTGATAACAGATCACAAATGTATAGTTTTTTAAGGCAGCTAGGCGCTGTAGCTTTTAGCAAACATGACTCCTACAAGAACCTCTAGTGCATTTACAAATTTTCCAGAAGTAGAACAGTGTATGTGGATCAACTCAGAGAAACAACAGTTGTATCACAATGAAGGAACCAGTCAACAGTGTGGCTCATTGATGTTTCTTTTTAATAGTTTCTGGACAACAATGAAGCTCCAGGGCACAGAGGAAGGAATAAGAAAGAACAGGCTTTGGCTACACAGACAATACTCGTTGGTAGGATCAATTCACAATTAGTTTTGGTCTTTTATGGGAATTGTTGACAATAAGAAAAATATACAATATCCCCAGTCTTATGCTTACAGTGCATAACTTGTTTCCAAAATACCCAGTGACACCAAAATATAGATTTCTTTTAAAATAAGAACTTGTGTCCTGCCTTCTAAAATAATTTCCTGGTTATTCATGCTATTCACTTGTTTACTCTACTAAAAAGCAACATGAGAAACATTTACACAGCATGTAGCTTTAATCTATGTAAAGTCTGTGTATTTTATTTTCATGTCCAGTATGTCCAAAAAAAAAAAGAGCATCTGTTCCTCGCATTAAAGAAGGTGGAACCAGAGTAGTTTCCGGTTAATTTTCTATCAGTGAACTGACTAATGGATGCAGCTCTATGTGACTGGGTGGTTTAATGTGTCGAACACGATGAGGGAATATGCTCCATCTGAGGAGCACTGAAGGTGTTCTGGAGACTCTTCACTAAAAAGCCTGTGTTGGTCACTTTATGCTAGTGTTTCCTTTCATTTGTCAACTATCCGTATATTCAACACCAACATTTTCTCCATTTCGTGTACATAGAGGTGACCTCTGATACTATGAAAAGGTACAAAATGCAAAGGACAGACGTGCACAGTACAATTCAATGTCTTTAAAAGGTATTTATAAATGAATGGCCTGGCTAGTACAGGTATGTGTGTCATACTGTTATCTAGATTTGAAGAAAACAGGCTTGTCAGTTCTGAAGTTGTGCTGCCTGCTACAGACGTCCTTTTCTTCTCTGCTTGAAATGTCCTGTGTTCACTTCTAAAGTTCATAATGAATATCAAACAGGTAGAATATGTTTAATAGATGCTATGATCACAAAGCTGCAAAAATGCCTTTTCCTGCATTTCAGTGTGTAGTTTGTTTGTTCAGTCTGTCTGACTCTTCTGCTGTCCCTTATTGCTTCATGAATCATTCTCCAGCTGCTGTAGCTCATCTTCTAAGGCCTTTGCTCGACCCAGCTTTTCCAGCTGATCCTTTGTTGGCTGTTTTATTTCCCCTGAGTCCACTTTCTGCTGCAGGTCCTCGACTTGTCGCAGCTTCTTTTTCAGGTTTTTGATCTTCTTGGCCTTTTCAGCTGCTGCTGCTGCTGCTGAGGAATCATCTGGAGATGAGACAGAAACTGATGCCGCCATCTTGTTTGAAGACTCACTGCCCTCTGAAATGGACACATTCTCAACAGCGTCGTTCACTGATTCCACATCCACATCTCCATTCTGGCCCTGCTGCTGCTGTTGTTTTCGTTTTTCTTTACGCTTCATGTTGCGTTTGGCCGACTTTGAGAGACCGGCTGTCTCGTTTTCTACACCAGGGATCTTCTGCTGCTGCTGCTTTGGTGGAGCTGCCTCAGATGGGTTCAGGCCAGGGGGCAGGTCTGATTTGCTCTTGAAAAACTTCACATACTTGTTTTCATAGCTGAAACAGCAAGAAACAGAGACAAGATGAAACTGAAATAAGAGGACAAAATGATGTACACTCCACTTTGTCTAATCAGTGATACAAGCCTCTAGTGATTTCTGTTCATTTTACCATTATACATGATGGACAAAGAAATCAGATTCTTACATTCAAGAAGCTGGAATCAGCAAAAGTTAGCATTTTTGCTTTAAAAAAAATCACTACAAACTTATTCGATTATCTAAACAGTTTATTAAATTTTCTGTTGATCGACTTGTCTATTAAATAGATTATTGGTTGCAACTCTACTGATTTCACAATAAGAGTATGATTTATAGTGTGCTGCATCCAACTGTAGCAAAAGAACAAGTGCACGTACACTGGGACTTCCTCCTGCGGAACATAACCATCCTTCACCCGTCTTGGCTTCCTCCATGTTCCATCAGGTCGCTGAGTGGCAGCAATATACTTTCCTGAAGAACAGGTTCAATATTAAAAAAAAACAAACAGATATATTTACACAAACAAACCTGCAGCTTTTTTAGGTTAACCATGTGACATCTGTCCAGGTAGAACATATTTTAAATCTGCCTTTTTGATGACCTCTGGATATTTGCATTTAGTATGTATAAAAAACTAATACATGAAACAAATCTTACTGAACATTATTTTAGCAGGTAAGAGGGAATTTGGTCAATCTGAAACTACTTTATTGATCCCTCAATGAGGAAATTTCAGTGTTTCAGCAGCAATAGAGAACAGACAGCATAACACCAACGCACACACATCCTGATAAATAAATTCCAAGTACTCAAAAATAGACAGAATCAAGTATTTGAATAATCAAGAACAGAATTTACATATGTGTATATATGTTCATAATAATATATCACTGAATTATTTTTCCAGAAAATGTACTGTATCACACATTTATGTTAACATGAATTGTATGTACTGTGATAATGAATTTTATCCATTTCCCCAACTCTTAATTGTCCTTTTTTAAGAAGACAAGACAGGAAAAGACAGACAGTCTTCAAGTCAGTGTTACAATTCATTGAATTTGTCATATTGCAGGTGGAAAGTAACCAAGTACATTTACTCATGTACTGTACTTAAGTAACCTGTTACTCATGTACTGTACTTAAGTAACCTGTTACTCATGTACTGTACTTAAGTAGCCTACACCTTTGAGGTACTTGTACTTTACACTTCTACCCCACCATATTTCAGAGAGAAATAGTAGACTACACTACACCGATTTGACAGTTTTTACTATGAAGATTCAGAGTACATACATGAATACAGATACACTGATTATTAATATTAAACACAATCAAATAAATAAATAAGTTATGATGAATTACTAAGCTACCCGGCAGTGCATAAAGTGGTTACACGTTACCAACACGTCCGTGTTATGCTAATACATCAGTAATTATAATTCAATAATTACATTCTAATAATGGTCGTTCTACATCATGATAATTTTACTTATGGTACGTTAAGTATATTTTGAAGTTATCGCATGTGTTCTTTTTCCTTTACTTGTAATAATGTGTACAGTGTATATCTACACTGTGCTATGGCTGCTGCTTCTTATAGAAGCTCTTGCTTTTCATCAAGTAGAAGATCATAGCACCTTTTGTACCGCTTTCAGACTGTTGTAGCTTATTAATTAAGACATTTTCACACACAGAATGGTATCTCCTTAACAATAATTGGGTCTGTGAATAAAATATAGTTATAGTTGTTTGGGTCAGTATCTTCCAGCTCTGCTACACCAGAACCACTTTCATCACATTGTTAGCTAGCTAACTCAACAAGCGTTAGCATCAGCTAGCTAATGTAACAACTATCAGCTCATTATACAGAAACACTATATGGACAATTAAAAAAAAACTGATAATGATAACGTTACAAAAGCAACAAAGTAAGTATGGCCCTGATATTAGTATAAATCATGCACCACTTTTACATTGCTACCTATAGAAGCGCGTTAGCTACATGACGTTAGCTAACTCTAATGACGTTAGCCATTTCATTGAGGACTTAGCATTAACTGGATGCAGAACAAATCATATGAATCAAAAGCGTTGTTAAACGTGTGACTGTTGAGAATCAGTGCTGCAAATAAAAGGATTGGCTTGGCTGCCAGGTTTACTGCAGAGGATTTTGTTTTACTTAGAGAAAGCTCTGGCACACGCATCAGCAGCCTTACCAGATTCATCTGTGACATAGGGGGTTGCCATTTTGGTGTAATACACTCCTGCGCTTCGCTCAATCGAACGGTAACGGTATCCTCAAACGCCCCTTGTTTGCTTAGATTCCACACAGTACAAAACTACCGCTTATTAACATTTGCCTGAAAAATATTGCTGCCCTCGGGGTAATACCTGTCATGGCAGCAAGGCTAATACAGTGAAGATTGTGGCCTAGGACGTTAACTAAGACCGTTGTGAACTGTGTGTAGAATCGGGCGGTACAGGGTAGCAAACCAAACGAACCCTATTCTTCGGTCTCGGAAATGACGACGTGGACCAGATGTTGCCAGGTGTGGGTGGTTAGCCGCTTTTTAACCACTTGACGCAGTGATGGAACAAGTGTTGAAACCATTAGCTCGAGTGTACTCGTGGATGGGCTATTGAGTAGGCCGACTGGGCTCAGGCCCAGGGGCTCCCTTGACACCTTGTGTGTGTGACTGTTAAAATTTCTTGTTGGAAAGTGAATAACAGTGCTTCAAAGAGACACCACAGCTGTTAAACAAATGCTGTGAAGTAAAAAGTACACACTATTTTTCTGAAAGGTTGTACAAAATGTAAATATTAAAATAAAATCCCAGGTACCTCAAAACTGCACTGAAGTGCGGTAGCCTGTTAGATGGAAGAGCATTTTAAATAGCAGCAACAGCAGAAGCAGGTCCTGTTTTTTGTTTTTTTTTTTTACTTTGTGTTGCATTTCAGCTCTGTCATTTTATTACACACAATTATGCCATACATGTCAGTAACTGACAGCATTTTGAATCAGCTTCTGGTAACACATGAGGCTACTTTAGAGATACACTGACTTGGTTGCTCTGTGTTCACTAAGGCCAGGGCCACCAAATGTCTTTAATGAAACCACAGGTAGACAGTAGCTGGCATATAATGCAATGTCAAACAGGCAAAAAAGTGCACATCAAAGCCAAACTGGGCACAAGTGAACACACTAAAACTACAACGATGATGAAAAGAGAAAAATAGTCAGCACACTGAACAACAATGCTTGAAGAATAAATTTATTCCCATGCATTGTCTAAGAAATGTATTCTTCAAGACATTTTTGCTGGTTTTGGTGGGTTTTTTCCTGAAACATCTGGTGATAATTTGGAGGGGTCAAACTGCTAGGTTAGTAAAACTAATCTTTGCTGTTAGTCCTAACAAAGACCAAAAAAAGTGCATTTCACATCTGCTATTATAAGGTAAGTGTTTGCTATAAATCAAGATTCTTTTAAAATGAAAAGAAGGGAACCTCTTCACTGGCACAAGTTTTACAAGTCTTTAATAGAAGGCAATGAATTAAAACATGTCCTCTGCTGACCAATTAGCAGAAAACTGCAGTCTAACTTATAGCTCTCTAATGTCGTGTTATGTTTAGTACCTAAATGTAACCGTTTGGAGAACAGTATGTAAACATGTAAAACAGAGTTCTTTTGTGGCTGAAAGTGACAAAACAGTCCAGGAATTTTCAGATGTGGCCACTGGTATTTGGTGTGAAATAAAATTAAAAGCGATCCACAGATGAGTCCACACTGACCGCTCTTTTACTGACTATGAAAGTTTTAACAACTGAATGTTGAGAATATTACCAAGTGCAAAAAATAAACAACAAAAGCAACAGAGAAAAGAAAAGAATTGGTTCTGTGGTCTTAAGACTTTTGGCAACATCGTCTCGAAAACTATTTGAAACGTATTAGAAGAGGGTTCTTTTAGTCCAACCTGGCAACCCTGAAGAAATCTGGTAGAAGAAAATACTGCCCCAGCAGACTACTTGGCAGTATAGACGACTGGCGAAAGGAGCTGCGGTAACCTATTTCCAGAATCTACTGTTCATATTTTTTTTTTTACCGACACCAAGTACGTATTTAATATTGATTTGCTGTTAAAACAGTGAACTAGCCGTTGTTCTAATAACTAGAGGTTTTTCAGCTGTTTGATTGAGTGGCTGGCGTTAAATGATGGCTAGCCTTGCAACCAAGCATTGAATAATAAAAATCAAGCGGTCTGTTAGCAGCACGTTAGCTAAGGCTCTATTCAGAGGTCCATCCGAGAAGAAGGAGTTTCTCCTTCGCACTGCATTAAGTCTTTGTCACTGTTGTATTGATAATTTAATGTTAACGGCAAATGACTGCGACTTGTAACGCAGAGCCTTGCAGAGCTAATGTAACCGTGGCGAGCTAACGTTCACGTAAGCTCCGGACTTCAGCCAAATATGCGAGATGAGCTGCTCTGAAATGAACGGGAGACCCTATTGTGCATGTAAAACCTCCTAGAAGTTAGCCAAATATGTTAGGGATAGAAAAGCTAACACTGTAAAGATGTATGTTACATAAGATGTTTAATTTATGTCCCTCAGCAGGCAGAGTTAAGAGGATTAGACAACATTAACACAAAGTTGGCTCTTTGATGGTCAGTATTAATCGTGAGACTCTTGGCGCAAAAACTCGGGTTTTTATTTCGTTGAGATTTTAGGAAAGGCTGTGTTTGGATGCATTTTACTGCTATCTTGCATTCAAACCCGAAATCCGTTTTGACTCTTGCAAAAACCCATGGACGCTGAATAAGTGTATTAGCATCTCTCAGATGCTAGTTAGCTGCGGCAATTGATGTCGGGGTTCTCTGTTTGATGAGCTAGCATTTTAACATGACCTGTTTTTAATTAAGGGAGATCGGTTTTCTACTCTGGGTTTAGTGAAACACCACGTTTAACTGGAATAAGAAGACACACAACAGATGTTTTGCTGTTGATCTCGTCAGGGGAAGATGCAAGTTGGCAGTGAAGATGGCTGATATTTTCAGTTAGACTTGAACTGGACCTCAGGGAAAACCTTGTGTGAGGTTGACTAAACGTGACAGGAGCTCCTCTAACTTTTCGATGTGTCAGTCGTATCCACCTTGTTTAAACAGAACAGTTTCTCCACATTCCAGGTGCCTGTTTTATCTGATTGCTGAGTTAGCACTTCTTATTAGCATCACTCAACTCAAGTGCACCTGGCTCTCTTGAGGATTCAAGCACCAACCCTCTTGATAAACATCATACATCCTAGTGTATTGCGTGAGTGGCCCTTGCAGTGTCACTTGTTGAATGTTCTTAGGTGAGTCTGACGTCTGTGAAGGTGTGGTGGAACCAAGGCTGTGGCATGCAGAGCCCTAATCAAAAGGGTGTGGGCTTGTGCAGATTTTAAGTTTCCTTTTCAAGAGAACACGGGTCAGAAATGGCAACCTATGGCAACCATAAACAGATGAGTGCAGGATGCTAAACGTCAGATTGAAGCATTTTTTTAAGGCGAGAAGTAACTAAATTTAAGGAGACTTGGATGTGGCAGCAGTCAGGAGGACTCTCCAGCATCTGCACAGTGCTGACTGCTCAGTAGGGTGACGCCATTGTTTCCAAGACAAACCAGGAGTGTTTTAGAGACTGCTGGTTGTCCTGCTACAAAGTGGGGAAATGGCAAAATTCTTTATTCATGTACAGCAATAAAAATGAATTGTGGATTTTTTTCTTTTTAGAAAAAGCTCTAGACAAGGCCAGAGAGTGTCCAAAGCCATATAGTAAAAATTAGCATCTGTGCCATCCGTTTTACTGTAGGAGAATCCTAAATATTCATGGTAGGGTTTGATAAAGCCTTAAAAGCATTTGTCAGTATGGCAAATTCTTGGATTTACAGTCCTAATCAGCCCAGGCTGTGAGGTCATGGTGGATATGCTGTGTTGTCTCCCACCACTGCTGCAGAGAGCTGAGAAAGAGGAAATACCCCTCAAACATATGTGGCTCTAAAGTCCTGCTAACTTTTCCCCCAGACTAAATTCAGCGCTTCTGCCAAGTAGAATATTAACTGCAGATTTTCTTGAGAATGCTCTGCCAGACAGACAATAATTCATTGAAATCTGTTTTTCATTCATATTTTATGGCCAGAGGAAATGGATGCCATTTGATTTGCATGCGTATTTTCAGATTTTTAAAAGTTGAGGCATGGTGTCTGTACATTTTTGCTTCAAACAGCATGGTTACAGTTGTTTCTAATGTAAATGTTTCTACACTGACGATCACTGTGGTTCTTATGACACAGCTGTTTTCTCCCTTTTCCTCCCACAGCGTTGGATCAACCTGGGGGAGAAGCAAGAGGAAAAACTAAATCTTTGCCTAAACAGTGGAGGCCTGATCTGAGCCTCATTCTTCCAGCCCTCTTGCAAGTTTTGAGCCTTGTTGGCGTCTTTAACCAGAAAAACTCTTAAGTGAAAGTTACCACACTCTGTGCCAGTATTTGGACAGCGGTCTACAGTCCTGAGGAAGCATCTCACAGACACCTCTGACAATATGGCAAAGAAGAACAGCCAAAAGGGTATGTGTTGGTTTTATAAAAGAATCAAACAGAAATAAAAAAAACAAACCAGTATTTTATTTTATGTATGTAGTAATTGGGCACACAGAATTTGTTTCTGGTGATTATATGGCTACAGGATTTAGCTAAAGAAGCTCTAACTCAAGTAGTTTTAATTTATTTAACATATAAATATGTTTTCATGTCCACAATTACAACTGTGGTGTAACAAAGCAATACTTATTAGAATTTGAATAGTTACAAAAGGAAAATATGGGCATTTACAGTGACATTAACCTACTTGCATGTACTGGAAAAACAACTTTTATAAGGGTTCAGAAGGTTTTTTTTTTCTGTGGCCTCAGGTTACCTTTGGACTTTACTCTGACTCTTCATACTCGGCCCTAGGCTCTTGTAGGTGTATCTTTTCTAAAAGGAAACGTCCTCAGATCTTTACAAGGGGTCCGTCCGTAGTCTCCCCCCCCCCCCCCCACCTCTACTGTTT